ATTAGCACACAATCTTTCATTACATCATCAATCGATAAGTAGTTCTCTTGTTGTGAATAGCTATCACATCGTGTACCACTTGTGGTACACATAGCATGGAGCGTGTTAAGTTCTTTATATAATTTTAATTTGATTGCTTTTGTTCTATTTACTCTTGAACCGCGATATAATTTTCTGCAGTCTCTGCACGGAATATTAAAATATTCTAAAAATAGTTTAGACACGTGGAGGCTACGCCTCACAATGAAAATTTAACTCTCTAATCTTTTTCTTTCACAGATGTCACATTGTTTGGAAGCTTGTTCAGACCTTTGAAGTTAATGACCTTTCAGACTACCTCCGCGAAATGCAAAAATTCACTTTTTGAAGAATAAGAATAAGAATCACATGGCGAAGGAAAAGTGGTTGGAAACCATTGCGTTCATACTGTCATCGGAATGTCGAGTCATTACGAATCCTTGAATTCCGAGAAAATCGTCCTCTCCTTTTTCTCGGCGGTGTTACGTCTCTCGCGAAGAAAATGAGAACTCGTTTCGCGTAATGGCACACGTAACTGTCTAACCGAAGCTGACGTAACGACTTGCGGGACAAGTTCGCGGCGAAGTGAAACTCGTGCCAGCGCGTTCACGCAAGAATCAATGTCTGGGTCAATGCTGGCGGCGTGCTGGCCAGTTCCCTCGTGCGTTCGCCTCGCGTGCTTCGGTGTCCCGTTGCCTTTGATTTATCGTGGAAAACGACGCCGCGGCTTGTAATTAGCCTGCGGTTTTCTTGGCTGGTTTAATTGATGGTGTTGCTTGTTGGATGGCCGGTTGATTGATTCGCACGACTGAATGTGTGAATCAATCGGGGAGAGCCGATGCTAGAATAAGATCGTGACGCAGAGACGCGTGATTATTTCACAGATGCGTGTTTATTATCTGTCTTGCCTTCTTTCTTTATCTTTGACTCGAGTTAGTGTTAATAAAGGGGATGTTGCACGATTGTCGATTGTTCTTACATTGATCGTGGTGTACCAATTAAAGTGTTAATTCATATAATAAAATGGAATTGCTCTTTTATTCGTATCAGATATAATATAGATATTATTAGTTAATAGATGGGATGTTGCAAAGTGAGTTGGGAGTTGGCGCACGATTGTTCTTACATTGATCGTGATGTACCAATTAAAGTGTTAATTCAGATAATAAAATGAAATTGCTCTTTCACTAGTACTAGATATAATAACAGATATTATTAGTACCAGAGTGCTAATTAAAATTTTGATTTAGAACGTTGAAACAAGATTGTAAGGGAGAATGTTGCTTTTGTTTCAGGTCGTCGGTGCTTCTCATATTTATTGTAGGATTATGCCTGCGTGACGCCCTCGCGAAGCACGTGAGTATTGAATTTATTACATTTCTTGTTCGACGTTTTCCAGCAGGAAAACTGGGAAACCTGTTTGCGATGAATGAAGCTCAAATGTCCCAAAGATATCGTCCATCGTGGTCCCTAATTTCGAAAGCAATGATCTCGAGGGGGCACGACAGATGCCACGAATAAAAACGCGCGTGGATGATTTTATACGAAATGAAAGTCCAGCCTTGCTTCGCTGAGAAAAGAAGGGTTTTAGGACGAGGACTAGGGGAAGGGGGCCGGGGGAAGGTAGGAAACGTGAGAGACGAGAAACGATAATCTCGTTGCACGGCCGCTGTTCCTTTTGCTGTTCCATACGCGTACTACCTACATCTTGCATCCGTCTTACACGAGAAATAACTCACCGTAGGAATAACTCAGGATCGTGTTACCCCCTCTGGCCCTTTTGCGCGACGCTTTGCTCCTTCAACGTTCCCCCTTTACCGTATTCTTGCCTTGCGACTAAACCTGCGTGTGTTCGTTCAGAGCTTTGTTCGAAGAAATTGAGTTGATTAATCGCCGAGTAGCGAGGGGGCAACAAGAAAATTCAATGGAGAATTTAACGTCAATCCACCGATCGTAAGTATTGAAATAAATCCAATTGATCATATAAATGGAATATTAAATTTTAATTTAGATCCATGATGAGTAGCTAATCATCTGAATACTTTAATTCCTGTAGGGATTGCAGTAATTATTGTTGCTGATGTAAAATATATGATGAGCTCAAACAATAAAAATCCAATTC